CGCCCAATTCCCTAAATATCAAGACCAGGGGCAATGCGATCTTCCTCAGCAGAGCCTGTAACTTAAGGTTTTCTAACCCGTCGCCTTCGGAAACAACTTTCTGCTTGTGCAGTTCAACTTCATCTCTAGGATGAGCTTGCTGAACCCGAGCTGCAGAGGGAGAGGCTCATTTGAGCTGGGTTGTCCATGAAAGGGGGTCGAGGGGGAGGCGTTTGAAAAGAGCCGGGGAGACCCTCCATGGCTTCCCGGCCCTGGGTCTTGATTTGATCAGCCTTTTCCCGTTGCCCCGCACTGTCTAGCTCCGCAGCCTTCGCGGTCCCCGCCCTTCCCCTCGCGCCCCTCCGCGCTCTCTGACCGCCGCGGGCTGCCGGGGCAGCTCCAGGTGAGCCCGAGCCCGGGAGGAAGTGTTCAGTTGACCAGGCTGAGTGTACATTATTCCCCTGTTTCATTTCCAGCCATGCCTTGTGTTCAGGCGCAGTATGGGTCCTCGCCTCAAGGAGCCAGCCCCGCTTCTCAGAGCTACAGTTACCACTCTTCGGGAGAATACAGCTCCGATTTCTTAACGCCAGAGTTTGTCAAGTTTAGCATGGACCTCACCAACACTGAAATCACTGCCACCACTTCTCTCCCCAGCTTCAGTACCTTTATGGACAACTACAGCACAGGCTACGACGTCAAGCCACCTTGCTTGTACCAAACGCCCCTGCCCGGACAGCAGGCGTCCATTAAGGTAGAAGACATTCAGATGCACAGCTACCAGCAGCACAGCCACCTGCCCCCCCAGTCCGAGGAGATGATGCCGCACTCCGGGTCGGTTTACTACAAGCCCTCCTCGCCCCCGACGTCCGCCACCCCGGGCTTCCAGGTGCAGCACAGCCCGATGTGGGACGACCCGGGCTCCCTCCACAACTTCCACCAGAACTACGTGGCCACCACGCACATGATCGAGCAGAGGAAAACGCCCGTCTCCCGCCTCTCCCTCTTCTCCTTTAAGCAGTCGCCCCCCGGCACCCCTGTGTCGAGCTGCCAGATGCGCTTCGACGGGCCCTTGCACGTCCCCATGAACCCGGAGCCGGCGGGCAGCCACCACGTTGTAGACGGGCAGACCTTCGCCGTGCCCAACCCCATCCGAAAGCCTCGCGGGGCTCCCCCTCCAACGAGGGGCTGTGCGCGGTGTGTGGCGACAACGCGGCCTGCCAGCACTACGGCGTGCGCACCTGTGAGGGCTGCAAGGGGTTCTTTAAGGTGAGCAAGGACAGGGGCTGAGGACGCAGGCAGGGGCCCCCTACAGCCTGGAGCCTCGGTGTGCGCGCTCCGCCTGGGTGCAGGCAGCTCAGCTCCCGCTCGCCCCGGAAGGTTCTTTTCCCGGGGTCTGCAGAGGTGGCGGTGGAGGCATCCGGGTGCCTGCCTGAGAAAAGAAAGCGGGGAGACCCCGAGACCCGGAGATCCCGAAATCCGGGGTCGCATCCCCCGCACAAAGCCGACCCGGCAGGCCTCCGCCCCAAGTTGCTGGAGCTGCGAGTTGGAAGAGGGTCATTTGCATGTGCGCAGAGCTGTCTTTTCTGTTCAGATTGAAATTGGTTAGGACAGAGAACCGTGTCTGAGCTAACCAAGTGGAACAGAATTCCCTATGGTCAAATTAAGTGATCTCTTTATTTCGCCATCCTGATTGAATAATCTTATCATTTTAAATAGAGAAGGTCTCCAAGGAATGTAAATAATATGAATGCCCACGGATTTGTATTTACTGAGCGTCTCCTACTCCTTCTCTTGGCATATAAAACACAGCAAGGAGCGGCAAGGTTAGCTCAAATGTTAACGCTATCAATTTTCTTCTGTAACATGCCCTGGGGGAGGAAAAAGAAAGGAAAGAGAAAGGAAAAGGAAAAAAAAGAAAAGAAAGCAGTTATGTATATGTGTTTGTTTGTGGCAAGGGAGTGTAGACCCGTCTTTCAGAAATTGTTTTTGTATTCCTTGGGTTGCTGGCTTTTCAAGAGAAAATTAATTTTTGGCCTTGACTGTCTTTTTGTTTTGCAGCGCACGGTGCAAAAGAACGCAAAGTACGTGTGTTTAGCAAATAAAAACTGCCCAGTGGACAAGCGGCGCAGGAATCGCTGTCAGTACTGCCGGTTCCAGAAGTGCCTGGCTGTGGGGATGGTCAAAGAAGGTAGGTCCGGGCGAGCGGCCCACTCCGAAGTCTGTGCCCTTGGAGAGCGCTGCCCCCACTCTAACCCCACTTTCTACAGACAGAGCCAGGGGTCTCCCGGCCCCCCCATCCGCGTCCGGCCTCCACACGGGCAGCTGCCTGCTTGCCCATCCTGCCCTAGAGAGAGCCGACAGGCTCTTCTCGTCTTTTAACTATACGACCCATTTGGAAGAAGACATAAAACAGCCCCGCGTTTTTTACGCTTCTCGTCAGTAAAGGCTTTACAAGCAGTGGGGCCCAGTGCCTCCCGGCCGCACTCCCCCCAGCTGCAGCCACCCCCGGGAGGGGCCAAGGAGGCAGCTGGGTCCCCCTAGGCCGGCGACACTAACCGGCTCTTTCTTTGCAGTGGTTCGCACGGACAGTTTAAAAGGCCGCCGAGGTCGTTTACCTTCCAAACCGAAGAGCCCACAGGAGCCCTCTCCCCCCTCGCCCCCGGTGAGTCTGATCAGTGCCCTCGTCAGGGCCCATGTCGACTCCAACCCGGCTATGACCAGCCTGGACTATTCCAGGGTAAGATGCTGGAGGGGGGTATCATGTGGACAAACCGACAGATGGGCAGGAACCCTCCCCACTCCCATCACTAACCCCCAGACTCAGGATAAAAGGAGGCAAGCAAGACTGTGTCCTCATAGCTCTGGGGAGAGCCACAGGAGGCGGGCAGACCCACAGACGAGTGTAGACAGGAGGACAGTGCAGCGGAAGGAAGAAGTGCTAGGCCAGGGTGGTCAAACCTCTTCGAGCCCCTTTCCCAGCACCACATACTCAGACGCTAATGCCTCTGATGGCCACACCAGAGGCTGCGTGAGAAGCCCCCACTAGGATGTATTCCTAACCTTCCACAGAGATGCTTTAATCCTCACCCTCTCTGGCACAGTCAGGGTGGGGGCTGCCTGCTTGGGGATCGGGGAAGGGAAGGACAGTGGGTCCCAGGAATAGCAGTGGGGTGGGGGATCAAGTGGTCAGAGTCTTCTTTTACCCCAGCTGTGAGGAATGGGAGGGCTTTAATTGGAGGAAGTATGTTGGGCAAACTCAGAAGTCACGGCAATTTTATTAAGATTTGCAAAGGGCGCCTCTGCTCGAGACCCACTCTGGGACTGGCATGAATACTAACACGTCAATTGTTTTGTGGAGATAAGAGTGAACGTTTCCCAGGGCTGGATGGCACTGTATTTAGTCTGTATGGAAATGGTAATTTACATATTTAAAGCAGCGACCTCATAGCACCATCCCTAATTGAATTAATTGCCCCGGAACATCTAATTTCCTTACTGGTCAGAGAGAGGTTTAATTGTTATAAAAACCTGGCTCCACTACTAGAAACGGGGTTAGCAATTTCACGGGTTATATATTTTAGAGAACCTCATTAAGTGCTTTTTAAAATGAAATTCCAGTTCCAGGCGAACCCTGACTATCAGATGAGTGGAGATGACACCCAGCATATCCAACAATTCTATGATCTCCTGACTGGCTCCATGGAGATCATCAGGGGCTGGGCCGAGAAGATTCCGGGCTTTGCTGACCTGCCCAAAGCTGACCAGGACCTGCTTTTTGAATCGGCTTTCTTAGAACTATTTGTGCTGCGATTAGCATACAGGTAACTGAGGAAGTAATCAGGGAGGTTGGGAAAGAAGGAAGAGAGCAATCAAGACAAGAAAAGAAAGAGGGAAAAGGAAATGAAAGGAAGGAAAGAGAGTGGTCAGAATAAGGGGAACAGAGGGATAGGATAATAGAAAAAGGTAGAGAAGGGAAGGAGTGAGCCCAGAAGTCTTGGATGAATGTCATGGAGGTGGGATAGGGGGCGTTCTTGATTGTTATGAAATTGAACCCTTTCAAGGTCTACTGGTCTACATTTTATTAACTCTTCGGTAATTAGGTGCCTCTTAAATCCCTCATTTATTGCTCTTCAAGTAATTAGTTGTTTAGCTTTTCTCTCTCTCTTTTTCTCCCCCCTCTCTCTCTTTGGTATTAATTGCAGGTCCAACCCAGTGGAGGGTAAACTCATCTTTTGCAATGGGGTGGTCTTGCACAGGTTGCAATGCGTTCGTGGCTTTGGGGAATGGATTGATTCCATTGTTGAATTCTCCTCCAACTTGCAGAACATGAACATCGACATTTCTGCTTTCTCCTGCATTGCTGCCCTGGCTATGGTCACAGGTCAGTACCATAAGCACAAGGCTCTTCTCCAAAACTGTCCAGCAGGATTTGTCCCAGTTTCCCCTTGCCTCCCATCTTCCTGGGTTTTGCCAGCTAGCTAACTGTTTTTCCCATTCTTCTTTTGTTTCTGATTGTGTTTTCTGCAGAGAGACATGGGCTCAAGGAACCCAAGAGAGTGGAAGAACTACAAAACAAGATTGTCAATTGTCTCAAAGACCACGTGACTTTCAATAATGGGGGTTTGAACCGCCCCAACTATTTGTCCAAACTGTTGGGGAAGCTCCCAGAACTCCGTACTCTTTGCACACAGGGTCTACAGCGCATTTTCTACCTGAAACTGGAAGACTTGGTACCACCGCCAGCAATAATTGACAAACTTTTTCTGGATACTTTACCTTTCTAGACCTCCTCCCATGCACTTCAAAGGAACTGGAAAGAACACCTAAAACTGTCCAGAGGGGGCAAGTCACAAGGGCAGAGATAACCCCTTGAGCTGTCTCAGCTCTAGCCATCCCACCCCTTCCATAAACCCCCAGCCCCTTGACCCTTAAAGGAAAACAAAAAAAAAAAACCACAAAACCAGAAAACAAAAACTGTTGCTATTTCCTAACCTGCAGGCAGAACCTGAAAGGGCATTTTGGCTCGGGGCATCCTGAATTTAGAACATGGACTACACACAATGCAGTGGTATAAACTTTTTATTATCAGTTTAAAAATCAGTTAAATGTTCAGGAGAAAGATTCCTAATGTATGATGGGAAATGTTTGGCCACATTTGGTTGTTGCAGTTAAGAGAAATGTTACACACACACACACACACACACACACACACACATCGTAAGGGGACCCATAAGTATTGCCCTTTAAAAGACTTCAAAGTTTTCTGCTGTAAAGAAAGCTGTAATATATAGTAAAACTAAATGTTACGTGGGTGGCATGAGTTGAAGAAGGCAAAGGCTTGTAAATTTACCCAATGCAGTTTGGCTTTTTAAATTATTTTGTGCCTATTTATGAATAAATATTACAAATTCTAAAAGATAAGTGTGTTTGCAAAAAAAAAATAAAAATATAACTACACAAAAAAGGGACCAGCATGTTGATTCTAGGTTGAAATGTTATAGGCACTTGCTACTTCAGTAATGTCTATATTATATAAATAGTATTTCAGACACTATGTAGTCTGTTAGATTTTATAAAGATTGGTAGTTATCTGAGCTTAAACATTTTCTCAATTGTAAAATAGGTGGGCACAAGTACTACACATCAGAAAATCCTGACAAAAGGGACACATAGTGTTTGTAACACCGTCCAACATTCCTTGTTTGTAAGTGTTGTATGTACCGTTGATGTTGATAAAAGAAAGTTTATATCTTGATTATTTTGTTGTCTAAAGCTAAACAAAACTTGCATGCAGCAGCTTTTGACTGTTTCCAGAGTGCTTATAATACACATAACTCCCTGGAAATTACTGAGCACTTTGAATTTTTTTGTTTTTTTTTAATGTCTAAAATTGTCAGTTAATATATTATTTTATGTTTGAGTAAGAATTTTAATATTGCCATTTTCTGTAGTATTTTTCTTTGTATATTTCTAGTATGGCACATGATATGAGTCACTGCCTTTTTTTCTATGGTGTATGACAGTTAGAGACACTGATTTTTTTTTCTGATAAATTCTTTCTTTGAGAAAGACAATTTTAATGTTTACAACAATAAACTATGTAAATGAACAGAACTTGGTCTTCTTTCTGGGTGAGGGAAAAGATAGCAATATACAATAGATAGAGTTGGAGTTTGATTTGGGATAGGTCACTTATTCAACACCTGAGTTTCAAACTGACAGCCTAGATTCTGTGCTGGCAAAAGGAACTGGGGGATTGAACTAATTTCCAGAGATTTCAGTTCAATATTTTCTCCTAATCAGAATTTTCCATTGTGGCAACCTACATTTATCAGAAGCAATCGAGAATATCTCCACTCTTCTGTTAAGTTGGCTGATAGGTGCAGCTTCCAGAGGGAAGTTCAGGAGGCCAAGCAGCTTTTGAACTTTTGCAAGGTCCAAAGTCTTGTCAAGTTTTTGTCTGGCACGATGTTTAGGAAATACCTTATTAAGATTCAGGAAGTCAACATGGATGTGAAGTATGCTGTAGTTAATCTCAGATTTTTCTAATTCTTCTACTTAACACTTGTGAAGAGTCGGTGGAAGGACAAGCATTCAGGGCCCTTTGGGCCTTGAGTCAGTGGTCTTTGACGTAGAGCAGAACTGTGAGGAGACATTTCTTAGGACTTTTTCTTCCATGGTTGGTGATGAGGTCCAGTTTGTAGTTTTATAATAATATTTCACCTTAAAAGTTTTCTCAAATAAATAATAAAATACCCGTTTGTCAGGTCCCAGGTCTGGTATAAGTAAGTTATATCACAGCCTCTAGGATTCCACAGCCTCAACTTTTATCAAGAAAGTAACTTTATGCTGTAGAAGCCGCTTCAGTCCGAGCTGCCTCTCAGCCCCAGGCCCTGCGCAGCTGTCCACTGAGTTTCGCCTCAGGACAGCTGTGACTTCATAGAGAGCCGGACATGGGGACCGCCTTCTCCACTGACCCCGGGGAATTCCCGACCTCGTTCGGGCCACTGAAATTTCCAGTATTATTGTTCTTAAACAACAGAGTTAGAACAGTAACTTACCTTGAGATTCCTCAGGTTATTTTTACTTTGCCTCCCCGCCCCTTTAAAAAGACGCGTTTTGCGGGTGGGTTAAAGAGAGAAAGCAGGTTTCCTTGTCATTGAGGTGGTTTTTAGGAGTGGCATTTCTCTGCAGGTAACTGAGGGGGAAAAGTGGGTGACCACATAAGAGATGAAATATAAGCGACATGTTCCCTTTCCTGGCTTGGTTGAATAGATGAGGCTTGCCTTTTTTATTGTCACAACTTCTCCAACCATCGCCGACACTAATAAGCAGAAGAACGCTCTTTGGAAATGCCGCAAGTCGGTAGAGCCGTCAGCCCTCACCTCCCAGGTGTCTGTAGCCAGACAATGACTTTCCGACTCAGAATCCCCGAGAGTTGAACCCAGAAAGGAACTCTGTTGCCGATTCTCCCTCAAGGAAGCCGTTGTGCATCACCCCAGGCCAAGAGGTGCCAGGTGGTGCGCCTCTCTCCCGAGACTTTGGGGTGAAAGGAGGGAGGGGTGGCCCTCTCCCAATGGCCGCGTGCGCACGGCACCGCCTCCGCATGCATTCAGTTGTCAAATCCAAGTTGCCGGGTGGCTAGTGCTTTTCTGCTTCACAGTTACTGACTCGCTTTCCAACTCCAGGCTGCGCGTCCGGGGAGTGAGGGTTGTGAGCCTCGCACGCATCTCCCCTGGATCTGCTGAGATCCGCGCCGCTGAGGACTTTTCCTGTCCCAGTCTTTCCAGGGGTAAAACTCCGGAAAAGCCACAGACACGCCGCATTGCAAAAGCGAGCCTTCGCATAAAACTTCTTTGGAAAGAGAGGAAAACTTTATGATGGGGGCCTCATTTCTCACTCCTCTCCCAACGTCCTTTTAAGAATGTCAGTTATTAGATCAACCGTAGGACTTGTATACATGTATATAAGCCAAACCAATGGACATGGACAACAGGGGGATGGGACCGTGAGTGTGCGGGGCGGGGGGGTAGGTTGGGGATTAATGGGGGGGAGGAGGACACATTTGTAATACCTTAACTAATAATAATAATAGTAAAAAAAGAATGTCAGTCATTGTGTATCGTTCCAGCGATGGAAATACATAATCATTGTTCCGAAGACTTGACCATACATTTTTCAGCCCAGGGAGAAGGTCTAATTTTAAATCTTCTGGACCCACTTTGAGTGGTTGCTTAGAGGGCCCTGACTTTATGGAGAGATGCCCTTAACTCAAAGCACAAAGCTGCGCTCCCACCTACTTGTTGGGCTCTGCCTCTCTGCGGTCTGACGGCCGCAGCGGATTCCCTAGGTGCCCAGGCTGCTCTCGCTCTGGCCTTCCATTTTGGGGGTGGGGAATCTCTGGTCCTGATTCTAACAAGAGAGAGATGCCTGGCTCAGGGAGCCGATAGCACCCTGCGATGGCAGCGGCACCCAACCACCCTGCCCCGTGTATTTCTTTGTGGTGCCTGACTCCATCCCTAGAGAGTTTGAGTGCCTTCTCCACTCAGAATACCCATCCTGAGCCTTACGGGGCACGTGTTCACAGAGTGCAAGGAGCCCGACAAAGAGACGCCGATATCCTGCCAACTTAAGAATGTCACTTGAAGGTTCAATTTCGCTCTGCCCAGAGAATGTTTTGGCTTTGCGGGCATCAGTGCGTCCACGCGGATATCCAATTAGCCAATTATTTTAAACCTACTCGGCAGCGGTGAATACTTTCAAGATGCAAACAGGTCTGGGAGGGAAGAGTTTTATTTCATTGTCCCATTTTAATCACAGAGGTTCCCGCTACAGGATCCATTTCCACCTCCCCCAGGTCCCGTAGAGGGTGGCGACCCCAGAGCACTTGTAGACGCCGCGCGCCTCCAGCATCCTGCCCGGCACCGCACCACGGCCGCTTCCCTTCCTATCCGCGGCGCGGCGGCGCGGAGGTGGCTGCCGAGAGTCAGGGCTGGGGGGTCTCCCGGGCGCGTCTCTCCTCTCTCAGTGAGAGAAGATGATCTGGAGGTCCTGTGTGCAGGAAGCCACCCCAAAAATGAAGGAGGGAGGTTCTATCATGGTGAGAGGGAAAATGAGGGTATCTAGTCCTGCGGATTTTAAAACTTTTAACAATTGAACAGAGTTATGGATGTCTAAGACATCCTTCTCTGAAAGGATTTTTAAGGCTTTTTAAATTTATTTTTTATATTTTGGCCCCCAACCTGTCCCCGCTCTCCAGGAACGGGAATTGTCGCTTCCTGGGCGCACCTGGGAATTTCTCTGCAATCCAAGCTTCCCGGGCATCCCTCTAGCCGGCACTTGCCTCAGTTTTTCCGTTTCAGAGCACGGATGGGGTTGGGGTGCAATCTTCCCTTTCTCCCCGTAGGTCTCAGCCACTACTAAGAAGCGCATCCGGTCGCAAGCGTCTTGGGGGAAGGATCTGCTTAGCTCTCGCCTCTGACAGCACTCACAGCAGCAAGAGCACGTCGCCCATAGCAGCATGTTCTGGGTTTGCGTTTCCCACAGCTGATCTTACTGGGAAACCGAGATATGAATTCCAAACAGGGCCGTCTTTTTTGAAAGTAATTCGTTCTTAATAATAAAAGAAGCACACAGCACCCGATTTTCATTTTTTTTACTTTTTACTAAAAACACCAAATTGGATGTTACACGTAACCGTGTAGGATGGCGAAGCTGTCATTTCAAGCCATTTTCCCTTAGCGAGTTTCCTGAGCGCGGCTGGAAACGACCGCTGGAGTCTGCAAGGTCTTTCCTTCGACCTTGACTTTGCGTTTCCTAAGGGGAAGTCCGGCGTGCGCCGAGTGCGCCGGGCGTAAGGAGAGCCACATCCCTGGTGCCACACTCCGACGTGAGCTCTGGGCCCAACAGAAGGTGGCGGAAAACTCCGGGGAGCCGTGCTCTCACCTCTTTCGCCCAGCCCCACGCCTTCTCACTCCCCACTGCCCACTGCCACTCCCCACTCGGCAGTGGTGTCTGATTGCTGAGGCCCCAAGATCACTGGAGAGGACGTGTGTCCATTTGTGGGCGGGCTGGGAGCGCAAGAGGAGACGCAAGCGCCCTGCTCTGCTCATGGCGTGTCGGAGACCGAGAGTTTGACTCGGCAGGTCGCGCCAGGAGACTTTGCCGAGGGAGCTCGGGAGCAATTAGGAAGAAAACGCCGGGTTAACTCTGTTTCCTCTGTTTCCAGCCCTGCCCACTCCAGCTGTTGCCTGCTTCTTTCCCAACTGTTCTAGGTCCCCCGGGGCCAAAGGCGGCAACAGGTTCCAGTCGTGGTCTGGCCAGGTCCTGTGCGTCAGGGCGCGAGCACGTGCAGCCCAGGGTGCCCCTGATTTTCCTGCACCCACTGATCAGTGCTCAGTCTCGGGTTCCCCGAGGCGTGAGAGGGGTTGGAACTCCATGTGCACCACACTACGGAAAATATTTTTGTTTTTTCCCCTCTAGTTGTGGGCGGGGCGAACAGGCACCAGGGCACGAGTTGGAGGCGCGTCCCAACTGCGGGAAGGGCTGGGAGAGGGGCCCATGTACCCAGGCCACACGTGTGCCTTGTGCTCCAGCCCGCAGCTCCGAGGAGAGGTAGCGCGCATCCGGGCCCTGCTTTCAGGTCTCCTGGCAACACGTGTTGGTCGTCCTAGACCTAGGCCCACGCGCACCAGAGGTAGTGACTCGTCAAGTGGCCAAAAGAGTGGTGCGCCGGGTGGGGGAGGAGCAGCCAGTCCTGTTATCCTCCTGCCCAGGCGCACTCTTTTCTCCAGTGAAGACACGGCTGCGGGACAGGGCTTAGTCCCGCTCTGTGTGTCCTGCTCAGCTGGACTAGACACAACACCGAGCAGGGACCAGGTTCCTTGGAGAGATGGGTTTCTGCACCCCCACCGCCCCTCATCACTCTCACTCTTGTGTCTTTATATTTCTATCTTTATATTTACAGAAACTCGGATTTCCAGGATATTCCCCACCTGTCATATCACATACAGTGCCTGGGTTTCTTTCAGAGACTTCCCGGGGTTAGTAGAGGGTGGCCCACGGGCTGCTGTGCATGTTCTCCATGGGGTGCTACAGGGACTGCCAGAGGG